TATTCTAGATTTGCCTGGTAGTCATCTTAGCTTAGCTTTCGGATGGTCAATTTCAAAAATTCTGCTTTGATTTCCCTACTTTGGGACCCGCATTAGGCTGGTCTCCAATCGCTCGGAAATTTGGGCCAAATCTCTTACAGTCCTCCACAAATTGCATCCTAACCGAGAAAGAAGAAAGTGCCTTATTTGGCCCCTATCTATCTGAGAAATTATTCAGCTACGACCTCGAGGGTGTATGGTGCAATGAGATGCCCCATCGCGCCAAGAGAATCCGACAACTGTAGTCCGCTAGGTTTTTTTTTTGACGATGTAATCCTCAGTTAGTGCTGGCCACGAAACGAGCACCCCATAAGATAGTATGGGTCGGTCTACTGCTAGTGGCCAGTTGTTTAAGCAATAATCATCAATCCGACGGTTACCTCAGCCCTACAGGCTTAAAGTGTAGTGAATTTCAGAAGGCCTTCTGTCGCTTTCCCATTTCCTTTGGTCCATGTGTCGTTTGTGACAGCTACTGGGTATTCAACTAATTTTCTAAATTTTCACTAAATGGTTGTTGTTGCATAGAGTTGTCTGCCTGCCTATAGCTTAAATTTCAGATTGAAAAACGCTGCAATCGTTTGGCTAACGAAAATGCTGACTGAGTTTCTCGGAATAGAAAGCGAAACTGGTTTCTTGCTCTATCTTTGGGCCATCTGTGTACATATAGGATTTCTGTCATCGGTAGGCCTTAGCTCCATTTCTCTCTGTTCAATGTCACTACCGTTTCTAATAGCCTTGGGAGAAGTAACACATACGACTTGGTAGATTCCCCTCTCCGAACCTTTTGTAACTGAATGAGGCTTTAAGCTCGTCCTCTTATTTGGCAGATAAAGATGAAAGATATGGAAATAGATACGGCTTTAAAAATAACTATTCTACGCAAGAAAGATCTACTTATAGCGCTGTTATAGGCTTTTCAATGGCTTAGTGAAAAGTTGATGTAACTCGACTAGTAAGAACAGCCAATGAAAGCAAAGACACCCTTATACATGAAAGAGCTTTGCGGTAGGACCAATTTTAGAAAGACTTAAGAGTTTTGGAATCATGTAAAACATTGGACAAGGCTAGTAGGCAGAAGGCCAAAGATCATTGACCTCAAGTATCCCGTTCTGGTACTTACCCACCAGATCACAGTTCTTATCGGCCTAACGTGCCACACTAATGTCAGTATATTAAAGCACACCAAAAATCATTAAACGGTTGCTATGGAAGTATTGTGATTGTTCCAGCTGAACTATTTAAAAAAAAAAAAATTTATATTGCCGAATGTAGGTGTCACCGAAAAATGCAAAAAGGTGGGTCGACAAAAAAAAAATTGCTTTTCTTCGAAATTGTCTTGCAAAAATACTTTACGACTCAGGTCTTTGGATATACAGTTTTCTAGCTATTAAATTAGAGTATAGTAAAGCGCAAGTTTGAGGTTTGTAAAAAAATCTTTCAATTTTGAATATTTTTTTTTTTTGTTTTTGCACGATGTCATTTATTTCCTTCCATACGAAATTCGCTCGAACATTTTTTTATATGGAAGAAAAAGCATTACACCGCCAGCAAAAGCAATTATCAAAAATCAACGAGAATTTTAGAAACTTTTAACTTTCATTGTACTATATTAAAATTTAGTAGGCTACAAAAGTGCATAATCAAAAATCTTATTCAAAAGTAGAAAATTGTTATGCAGATTTTGAAACTTCCTGAGTTTTACACAAATTTTGCATAGTTAATTTATATGTGTTTTTGTAGTATGTAGTGCTTTTTGTTGTAGCATGTACAATTTTGCTAATTTAAAAAAAGTTTCTGTAGGTAGACTTATGTTGTTCACTGTATGTATATACGAAAAAATTAATATTTTCCACCGAAATTTTGTTCTTCGGCAGTAGTTGTTTTTTTCTTGGCTCGCCATCAATTTCGGTTATATCTTTCAGTACAAAGTGTGATCTTTGTTATGCCGGAAGCAATCGCGAAACGAAGGCAAATCAGCCATTTCCTTGCTAGACTGACTACAAAAGCAGCAATGTTGTCTAGAACATACATACGTTATCGTTGCCTAAATTAATTATGTGCCAACAACGGCGGGAACAGCAGCAGAAAGCATTTCACAAAATTACAAAAAAGAAAAAAAAACACGAACTCAAGTCGTTAGAGCGCCAAATTGCAAGCGAACTCTTACCCTTGTTGGTTGCACTTTACTGCTTGTCGCTTGCAAATTTGTAGGTTTCTTTTTTGTTTTTGTAACACAAAATTAATCTGTTCATAGTTGACATTTGACAGTATTTTTACTGTTGTAAACATGTATTTATACATATATATTTTTCTATGTATGTGCTACTTCTATGTTTTATTAGCAATTAATTATCACTAATGACTCTTTGTGTTGTCTTCTCTTCTGCCATTTCTTTGTTGCAGGCTATTATTTGTGAAGAATTTCCTCGACGTCAGCAGCGTATTCAACCGCAAAACTCAATATATACTCGGTTGCAGAAGCAATACAACACAGTATTTTGCACAAAATTTTGTTAGTTTTTTCCTGCGCGGATGCAAGCAGCAGCATACAGAAATATTAGCAGCCCGCAAGTGAACTCAGCGTGTCGAGGTCAATAAAAGCGACGGCTACAGCAAGTTGAAGTACAATAAACAAATAAGAAAAAAAGTAAATTACTGCGCTTAATGATTAACCACTGCTGATAACACCAGTCGAAAGCCAACGCAGCGCAAACGTTTGGTTTTTCAACTTTTTTCTCGCTGCTTTTTTTGCCCATTTTTAATGCGCTCGGACAGGCAAGCAATCGACTAACCAATCGAGCATTAAAAAATAAAAATAAAATTGTAAAAAAAAAACAATAGCGTAGTAAAATATCGATGAAGTGCGGTAAACAAAGTGATTAATGTGCATTTTTTTTAACAATAAATAAATAAAAATATTCGCGTTATTCAAAGTTGAAGCAAATGCAAAAACGCTGTTAATTTGTAAAATTTCTTAAGTAAACAGCCAACTCAGCAGAACTTAAATGCAAGCAGGCACACACGCACACACAAGCACACGCGCATACAGTTACATGCAATGCAAATGAGCTTAAGTAAACGATAAAAGACACCACCAACTAATTAATTCATTAACTAATTAACTTATTTTTTATTTTAATGTTGTTCTAATCAGCCAGCGATACAAACACTTCCACACGTAGCGGAATATAAAGCAAGTCAAGAAGAAAAAAAAAAAATTAAATTAAATTAAAAAAAATTCTAGGTATTTACATTAAACAGCAGCAGACAGATCATTGAAGAAGAGAAAGAAAATAAATTAAAGAAAAAAATAAAATAACCAGCATCATTGAAGAGTTCATTAAAATACAAGAAATCAAGTAAAAGCGGTAGCCAAAGCAGATATCAAGCAATTGTCGACTCGACAAAAAAAAACAATAAACGGAAATCTCAACCACACGCGCTACTCGCAAATCAAATCGTTGGTCGCTATCATACACCGTGTACCGTACCCCTTCCACAGCTACTACATTTAGTACACCAGTGTAAGTGTTCTATGTAAGTGTGAGTGTTGTCGAAGTGAAATTTATAGCGTATTGAGAAAAATAATACATATATAAAATAGAAAAAAAAGGTGAAAAATAAGCTAGCAACATTACAACCGCAAGCACGCTGCAGCAGCAACAAGGAAACCAATAACCACTAAAATAACAACAGCAGCAGCAGCAAAAATAGCTTCAATTACGACGGCAACAACACCAACACCAGCAGCAGCAGCAGCAACAGCCGCAGCAAATATGGAAGACAATAACACAAGTACGCCAATGAAGACCGACGAATCAGTCACATTAACAATCAGGCTGATAATGCAAGGCAAGGTAAGTGTTGATGAGATTGCATGCAGTTCAGCTATCTTCATACATATATGATATTGTACACACATACACACTCATATTGGTATGTATAAGTATGTAATTAAAATGTCTGCTTGCAAGCGGAATTGAAGTGGAACCGAATTGCAAAGCAAAAAATATATATATGTTAGAAAAAAAGAAGCCGTAAACTAATCAGTTGTAACGGAGTTTTAAGGAAGTGGCTTCCATTAGTTGCACGCAATTGAAGTTTAGCCTTTAATTGAACTTGTGAAACGTGAAAGAAAATATTTAATTTTGTCCAGTACCGATAACTAAATTAGAAATAAAAAACGATGCGGAACTTTGCGAAAATACACACATGGCGACATTCTAATATAACACATATTCACAATTATGTTTATGAACTTTTTGCATTAATTAGTTATTTATAGAAAATATGGTTCATTTTACCATATAAATCAAAGTATCACACTTTATATAAAGCTCACAAGAACTCAAAAAAATTTCGTCAACATTTTCAACTTTCAGAATTTCTAGAAAATTTTCGAGTATGCATTTTTTAGCCCATTCAATTTCAGTCCAATGAAGTAAAAGTTTTAAACGGCTGAAAAATTCCGTTGATTTTTGAGAATTTTTTTTGTCCGATTTTTGCACTATCGGATTTTTCCATATGAGCAAACCGTTAGCAACAAACTTTCATAAAATCAACGCCAGTTTTCGTAAACTGCACTTGTTGTATAAAAAAAAAAAACACAAAAATCAGTATCCAAAAAATAGTTCTCAAAAATCAACTTTAGCCGGTTGAAACTTGCACTTCATTGGCCTAAAATTGAATGGGCTACAAAACTGCATACTCGAAAACTCTGAATAAAAAGTTGAAAATTTTGATGAAAACGTTTTGAATTTTTGTGAACCTTATACAAAACGTTTAACTTTGATTTATATGGTTTATATTATAGAATTAACTAATAAACTAATAAATAATTAATGCCAAAGATTTTTCATGAAAATAATTGTGAATAAGTATGGGCGATTGCTGCGAAAAGTCTACCGCGAAAAAAATAAATAAAAGTCGTACATCTAACTTTTCATGAAAATAATTGTGAATGTCATGTCAAAACAGTCAAAAATATGAATGTTCTGTGATGTCTTGACAATTTTATTTATTTTTTGCTGTTCGCATTGCACGAGAACGCCTTTACCGATTTTCTTGAATTTTCGTACACCTACTGTTGTCTTTACAAAGTTGGTTATAGGCTAAAAATACATTTCGATTTATAAAGGGTGCGTAGCATCGCACACACAAACCGAATTTTTCATCCTGCATATCTTTGAAAGTGTTCATGGATGAGTACTGGAACTTGGTATGGAGGTATATGAAATATTAGACAAAAATATTTCAATAAACAAAATAGTCAATGCAACAGCAAAAACCACAAGAATATTTTTTTTTATTTGAGACAGAACCCGAGGAAAAAGTACGAAATTTTTAATTTTTCAATTCGACTTCTTCGGAAAAATGTTTTATATGCATTGTATCATTAAATTTTAGTATAATAAAGTGGAAGTTTCAAGTAGCGAAAAATTACCGTTGATTTTTGAGATTTTTTTTCGCCAAGGATGTTCTTTCAAATTGTGTTCATGTT